ATTGCACCTCATTAATAGCCTTTTTGATTTCAACTTGGTTAGATTTTAGTTCTTTTATTTCTCCAGAAAGGGATTCTCTAGTATCTTCCATGCTTTTTTCAAGCCCAGCTAGTATCTCCCTAAAATATTCTTTAAGGCTATGAGTCACCAGATACCTACTTCTACCTCATAGGAGGGGAATAAAAAATAACAATAAATGTAATACTACTCTTACTATAATAGACATAAATAGTACTCCATAAACTCGACATAAATATTACTCCTTGAAGCTCTCTTGTACTTTACTTGAAATTAAATATCCCGCCAGGACTCCATTTTGCCTGACTGGTGGGACATTGAGTCTCAGTCCTTGTTAGGCTGTCTTCACCTCTGCAGAGTCCAAAGAGATTCCACAATGTTTACAGAAACAAGAGAGGGGTTTCCAGTCTTGAGCCCAGCCCCACTGAGCCCGTGTAAGTTGAGACACCTGCCGTCTGTGCTCACATGGAACCCTCGTGCCCAGGGTACCATGTCATCATCCCTCGTGGGGTCTGCCACCGGCCCTTCTGCTTATGGGATCCTCAGACCTTTGGCCTCTTCCTCATTTGGAGGACTCTTCTCTCTCTTTGTCTCTTTCCTTACAGAACTTCTCTAATGAGTTCTGGCTTGGAGGAAACAGCAGCCGGGGAGGCAGGCTGTGTACCAGCAACTTGAATTTCACAGCTTCTAGGGGGGAGTTTGTTCCAAGAGACTGGGCACCTGCTTGGAGTGGGGGCAGGAAAAAGACGGAGCTCAAAACACAGATGAATATCCCCAGTGCTTGTTTTATACTACTATTAATAAATGGCAAATGTTATTGAGCATTACTCTTTACTCAGATGATCACATTCAATTATCAAAATTTTGCCATGTTTTAAAGACAGATGACTGAGTCTTAAGAGATGGAGTAATTTTCCCAGTTTTAAGTAGCAGAGCAGGGATTAGAACCCAAGTCTGTTTGGTTCCAAAGTTCATCCCTTATATTACATTTTCTCTCCTGCAGAGGACTGGTACTATTTCATTTTGAGCACAGGGAGCTGCCAGGATGGGTTAGCTACAGTGTGAGCTCCCAGATGACTCAGTGAATTCATCCATGGAACACCATTGCTCGGAGTTCTCCAGCTGGTTGTCAGAGTGCATTTGCCAAGACTCAAGAACAACAGTACTGCTTTGGGCGTAATTAATGTTTGGACAATAACCGGTCAGCATGTTCAGCTGCTTCTTGAGGTCACTCCTGGGATATGAAAATAGGACCCCGGATTGGCATAAACAGGATGTTTGTTTTCTTTGTGCTCTGTCAGGGGGCCATTATTTCGGTCATCTAGAAGTTACACCAAATTGCTCAGGTGCAGGTTCAAAAGGGGAGAGGATATGGCCAGCCTAGTTTTGTGTTGTTTAAAATAGAAAATTGATGGATCTGAAATCCATTTCTGCTCAGTATGATTCTTGAAGTAGTGTTTTAATAAAGTCCTAACAGAACATTTAAAAAATCTTAGATCAATTTTTAAATTGTATATCTTGACCCATAAATAATTCCTATTTATGGAGTCTAAAGCCAATCTGTGAATCAGTACAGAACATAGTAATTATGGCCCTACTACCTGCCCCCCTCACCCCCAAGCTGGAGTGATGGGTGATTCAGAATCAGGCTGGGCTCTTGGCTCAAGATGTTCATAATATGCTCCAGGGGCTTTTGAATGTTGTACATATCAGAATTATCCCTGACACTTGTCAGAAATAGAGCTGCCTAGGCCCTACTCCAGACTCATGGTCTTAATTCATTTGGTCTGCTACAAGACACCCTGGGCTGGCTGGCTTAAAAACTGCACAAGTTTACTTCTCACAGTTCAGGAGACTGGAGACTCCAAGATAAGGCCCTAACATGGTGTCCTGCTGAGGGCCCTCGTCTTGTTTCAGAGTTGTTCCTTTCTTGCTGTTTTCTCATGTGGTGGAAGGTGCTAGGGAGCGCTGTGCAGGCTCTTTTATAAGACACTAATCCCATTCATAAGGGTTCCAACCTCAAGACCTAAGCACCTCCCAAAGGCCTACCTCCTAAATATCATTACCTTTGGGATTTAAGATTTTAACAAATGAATTTAGGGGGACACATTCAGACCATAGCACCCACGGAATCAAACTCTTGGGCAGTGAGACCCAAGTATCTTTATATTTAGCAAGCTCCTTAGGTGACTCTGATACTCCTTAAACTTTTTGAGCCAGCCACGTGGTTGATGGTGTTGGGGTAACATAAACTACTACAATGTTGTCTTTATTGTGTTCTATCCTATACAGGTCTATACAACATCTCCGGAAGTATGTATAGGAGATGTATAGGCATACACATGTGTATCTAGAGACATACTAGTCTCTTAATTATATATATGTTGTTGAAATGTGCCTACAGATAAATATTATTGTAAATCATAGTAAACATTAACTGAGCATCTGTATGTTTCAGGCACTGTTCATTCATTCAATAAATACCTGTTAAGAGACCTCTATGGGCCATCAGAAAATCAAACAAAAGTCCCTGTCTTCAGGGAGCATATATTTTAGTAGAAGGACATCAGCAGTAAAATTCAATAAGACAGTGACATGATGAGGAGTGCCATGGCAAGAAGTAAAATGGAAAAGGGATGGCAACCACCAGAGATGGGGGCCAAATGGCAATTTCAATAGGATGGCTGGGAAGCCTCAAGGGAGGGGAGGAAGTGAGCTCTGTGGATATTTGGAGCACAGCTGTTCCAGGTTTGGGGAACAGGAGGTGCCATGTCCTGACCTCAGCAGGAGCATTCTTGGTGGCTTCAGGAAACGGCACGAAGGCCAAGGGCTGGGATGCAAGGAGGCGCCATCTGAGAGGCAAGGGATGGGCTGAGGCGTGGGTCTTGTGGGGGCTTGTGGGCCACTGGAATTGTTTCACTTTTACTCTGGGGAGACGGGAAGGGTTCTGGGTCCAAGAACAACAGTCAGACAGGTTTTAAGGGGACGATTCTGGCCAATAGGCAGAGGCTCCTGGGGGCGGGCAAGGCAGGAACAAGTGCCAGAGTTAGGAGGCCATGACAGTAATTCGTGGGGGGAGAAGGTGGGCGGGCTGGTGAGCAGTGGAGGTGGTGAGCACACCGTGGCTTGCAGGGGTGCTCTGAAGGCGGGGAAGGGGGGCGGCAGCAGGTCTGAGGATGGTTTGGAGGTGGAGCAAGTGAGGGCTGCGCTAGGAGGTTTTCCAAGGATGCTGGCTGTAGCTGTTGGCTGTGCTCACTCTGTGGCTAGATTTGGTTCTGGATGTGGGTCATCCTTCGGTTCCAAGAAAATAATTGTATTTTTGTTTTTAAAACATATGTTGAACACTTAAATTTTGTAAGTTTTATTGTGTGTACATAAAACCTCTTACGGAGCAGTCAGGGCAGTTTGGCTGTAGTGCGACCTTCACCAGGATATTGGTAAACAGGGACTGGACCCACAGTGACACTTTTTCCTGACATGTAGGAAAGCTGCCTTTCCCCAAAACAAATATATTCTGGATAGAATAATGAATAATATTTCTTGTTCAGTTTATTTCAAAGCACTCTTACGTAAATCCTCAAAAAATTCTTTCTAAGGTTGATAGTGGATGATATTAACCCCCATTTGGAGATTCAGGAACCTGAGATCTAGGAAGGATAAGAAATGTTACAAGGATGAATTCTGCTAGATCAGACCTTCTATTTTATGACTTCCTCCTCTTGATTGTGTGGTCTGATGTATAGTGACTGGACCTCAATCCGGGGAACAGAAGTGTGTGTGTGTGTGTGTGTGTGTGTATATGTGTGTGTGCGCGCGCGCGCGCATGCCCATGCACACGTGCATGCAAAGGAATCACACTTGGGTTACTAAGTACAATGATCCAGCAAGGGAATTGGAACTGATTGTTCAAATCTTCTAAAATTCAGGCCTCCTGCTTCTTTTCTTTTTCTCTCTTCCCTCTCTCTGTGGTCATTTGGCCATTTTTTTTTTTTTCCGAATAGTAATTTTTACTGAATGGTGGGATAGAAAAATAAAAGATACAGAAGTCACATTAGGTAGTGTGGAGAATAATTTTAATAAAAGTTGCAGCAGAGAATGAAGTCAAAATTAGCACTAAAATGGAATTCTCAATTGCTGATGGATTTCAGCTTGCTTTGCTTTCCTGATGCTTTGTTCCTGTAAAAAAACAAGTTTGATTACATCATGTACCAAGTAAGGCTGAGCTCCTTTTGTTTTGCTGAACAAGCCCTGATGTCCCAGGATGGCTGCGAGCAGGGCCTGGGCCAGGTAGCAGCCTTTCACGTCTATGTCTGTTTCAGTTTGCAGTGATGACCTCACCCACAAATTCAAAGGTTTCACTGTGATGAACGAAGCAGAGAGATATGAAGCTCTCAGACACTGTCGCTATGTGGATGAAGTCATTAGAGATGCTCCGTGGACACTCACTCCAGAGTTTCTGGAAAAACACAAGGTACTTACTCTTCCATGTTCTCTAAGTAGAAGAATTAGAGTCTGGTTCTGCAGCCTACATGCAGAAAGCCCAGAGGCTTCTACTCTCTGAAAGAGGTGACTTCAGGAACTGTCATGTGGTGTCACTTGATACAGCACCTGTCTTCTGCCCAGGCCTGGGGACTGATACCCTCTCACTTCCTCACTGTGGGGCTAGAGCTAGACCACCCACGTCCAAGTGCACCTCTATCCCTTCCTACCTGTGGGACCTTGAGCAAGACATTGAACCCACTTACCTAAATTGTAAACTCATGTGATGTCAGTACTTCTCCCATGGGGCTGTTTTGAGAATCTAATGAGATCACATAAGTAAAACCCTTTGAACACTGGCTGGCCCATAGCCAGAGCTCCAAAATGTAATTGTCATTACCACCACCATCATCATTATTGATGCTTGTATATTCACAGGCATCCTTTTTCAAGGAACAAATGAATATGCATTATATCCAGAAGGGCACAGGTCAGCCTTTAAGGAAAGAACTTTATATCTGTGATTTTGTGACCCTGAGACTCCTACTGATACAAGATTTTTATTAGTTGAAAACATGAGAAATTCTTTTGATCTGCATGAAATTATGTGCTTTGTGTCTCCCTACCAGCTCCACATTAGGAGCTATTCTTTCCTTTTATAAGCCGTACCAAAAAAAAAAAAAAAAACCCCACAAGATGAAGCTGTTCTAAGAGTTTTCTTTTCTATTTTTAAATCCCCGATGCAGAAGAGAAGAGAGAACACTGATAAATGTGCATGGGTAATAGCAGAGGAGATAATCTCCCAGCACGAATAAAAAGCAAAAGGAGAAACTACAATATGATTTACTTCCAGCAATCACTAGCACATTTTTACTGAACATCTATTGTATATTCAACTTGTGCCAGGCATGATGGGGGTACTGACGATGGTAGCAGTGGCTGCCGTTTATTATTCACCATGTGCCAGGCACTGTGCTGGGGGCTTTGCTCCTACATGAATTGCATTCAGTCTCATGGCCACCCCGAGATTGTCATTGTCGTTGTTGTTGTTATATGCTGGAGAGGAGGAGGAACTAAGTTTGAGCACTAAGAATGGATTGAATAATAACATTGAGTGCTTACTGTGCACCGGTTATCATTTTTAGCACTTTTCCATCACGACATCATTTAATCCAGTGATGCTCAACTGGGCTTGAATTTGCCCTCAAGGGACATTTGGCAGTGTCTGGAAACATTTTTGGTTGTCGCAGCTAGAGGGGTGCTACTGGCATCTAGCGGGTAAAGGCCAGGGCACCCCCCCACCAAGAACAATCCACCTCAAGATGTCACAAGTGCCAAGGTTCAGAAATACTGATTTAAGAATTAAATTTATGACTTCTCTAGCTAGTAAGCGGTGGGGCAGGCAGATGGGACTCCTGCTGTAAACTACCTCTCCAGGTGGAATCAAGCCTCGTTACAAAGGGCTGCGAAAGGCAGGCAGCAAGTTTAGATTTGATGGAGTAGGAGACAGGGAGCTAGGGGAGATCAGCAGGAAGAAGGATGACACGAAGAAACCCAGTTAAGAAGGACCTGCCCCCCACGTGACAGAGGGGTAGTTTGGAAAGGAGACAGACTGCAGTGAGGAAGGTCAGGTACAAGTTGGAAGCAGTAGTCCAGGTCACTGGGCCCTGGGTTTCCTGTAGCAGCCATGGAGAGGACCTGCCGGGCGGGCGCGCATGCGTGTGGGGACGTTCCCATGCGCACATGAACATGCACACAGCCCACGGGGCCTTGGGACCTTTGTGCCTGGAGACTAAAGGAAGTAGTGAAAGAAGGCCAATTCCAAGGTGTTTGGGGCCTAGGTACACCGGGAAAGTGGAGGTGCCTCTGGGAGGGGACACCAGTTTTCAGGCTGAATTAAATATCGAAAAGGTTGATTTTAACATGATGCCAAAGGGTGACTTGGGGCAAATCTGACAAGTTTTCTAGTTTAGGCAGCCTTCTGTCCCAACGGAAACAGTAGTATGAGCCCCTCCTGCCTAGCAAGGTGGTTAGGGAGATCAAATAAGAAAAAAGTTGTGAATTCATTTTTACCACATAAAACATGGCTTAAGTGTGAGGGCCTGTTGCTATCAGTGGGACAGGAAATGGAGGTTTGGCTTCCTCATCATAGCAAGGCTGATTAAAATCGGAAGCATGAATGAATTCTCTAAGGAGAAAGTTTAAAGGCAGGACAAAAGGCCTAGAAAGCCTACTGTCAGAGGAAAGAGAGGGACCGGTGAAGGAGACCAACCAATCTAGTTCCCTTTATCTCCCGGAAATGGAGAACAGTTGGCGGTACCTTTCGGTCAAGGATTCAAATGCACATTATAAACTGCTTATTTCAGCTGCTTTATTATGACTACTTTATTCCAAAAGGCATTTGCACACTGGGATGTCTGGGTGGCTCAGTTGGTTAAGCATTTGCCTTCAGCTCAGGTCATGATCCCAGGGTCCTGGGATCGAGTCTCACATCAGGCTCCTTGCTCAGCGGGGAGCCTGCTTCTCCCTCTGCCTTCTCTGTCTCTCTGCTAAATAAATAAAATCTTTTTTAAAAAAGACTTGTTTTTGTTTTTTTTTTAAAAGGCATATGCACATCCATCCCACTGGTGACCTCACTCTTCTCTCTCTCCAACAGATTGACTTTGTGGCCCATGATGACATTCCCTACTCTTCTGCTGGTTCTGATGATGTTTACAAGCATATAAAGGAAGCAGGTGAGTTCCCCTGTGCTCACCTGTCCACTGCATCATGACCATCAGGCAGGTTTAATAAGAGACCTCTGCCCTAGTCTTGTAGCATAGACATGGAAGGCACTGGAATTTCAGACGTCTGCCAAATAGCCTTTACAAGCTTCTGTTGACATGTGCTAAGGCTCAGTCATAGGAAAGACACCACTTAGGTATTTATAGAAGAGTTAACTCCTACACCAAAGCACTCGGCCATACCACAGGTATACCAGCTTCTAGTGTGTGGCTCAATTTTAGGGCTCATCAGACTAAAATCATAGGACCCTATTATTTAAAGGGCAATCATTTTCCTCATTCACATTTAGGTCCTCAGAATGAAATTATGTTATACTTCCAAGAAAGTTCCTTCCAGAAGCCAGATAACGGGGTAATTAACAATCTGGACTCCTTGTCTCCAAAGTCCTGCCATCTGTCATCCTGTCACATGATAGTTACAGCCTCAGGTACCACATGCAGAGGCAAAAAAAAAAAAGGGGGGGTAAATATTTGGGAAATCAGGTAAAATATTTCCTTCCCCAAACTGTTAAGCGCTGTCATGGAGGGAAGATGTGCCTGAGCTTTGGAAGTTGTCCCAGCTGTCACTAAGCATTTCTTTGAAGGTCAGAGACTAGTCTGGCCCAGGGAGTTATTGGGGGGCTGGAGAGAGGCGGGTTTCCTTCCATTGCAGACTGCCTGCGGTTCATTCCTTTGCCAAGTTCTCTGTTCCTATTCCTTTGCCGCTGAGGACTTGAGGGAAATCACTGTTGGGCATCGCAACAGATCTGTGGTTTCCAGCCTCAGGGGGATTCTTGATGTTCCTTTATAACGTTTACCTTCCTGTCCTGATGTACTCTTAACTCCTTGTGCCCTTGCCCCTTGCCCTGCATCCTGAGGAAAAGGGGTAGGTTTTCTGTCCCAGGCTGACTTTTTTTTTTTTTTAAGATTTTATTCATTTATTTGACAGAGAGAGAGAGCTCAAGTAGGCAGAGTGACAGGCAGAGGCAGAGGGAGAAGCAGGCTCCCCGTGGAGCAGGGAGCCCGATGCGGGGCTCCATCCCAGGAGCCCGGGATCATGACCTGAGCCCAAGGCAGACGCTTAACGACTGAGCCCCCCCAGGCGCCCCCCAGGCTAACTTCTTTACCTGAATCCACCTCCTCCCTTCCTTGAAGCCTGTCTGCTTTATTCTTCCTCTGTGTGCAAGGTTCTCACTCTCCAGCAGTTTCTTCTCAGCTTACTATTATTTGAGAGTCTACAAAAACAAAACAGAATCCTTCTTCTGCCCTCCCTCTCCCTTCTGCAGCCCCATCCTTGTTGTGTCCTCCCTTGCCGGCACCTCGCAGGCTCACCTCCCTGTCATTCCTCACCGATCTGTGCTCTGACTTCTGTCCCAACCTCCCTCCGTTCCCTGATGACCTTCGGACCACCCAATCCAGTGGCCTCTTTGCTGTCCTCCTCTGGACAGGACAACCCTGCTGACCACTCTCCTCTCCTATGTGCTTTTGTCTTCTACTTTCTGGGACACTTCTGGGACCTTCTCTTTCCCTTCGGTCTCTCTCACCACTCCTGGGTTTTGTGATTGGGTCTTTGTCCCTTGGCCCTGCACAGCCTCTCAGTCTTGCTAGTCTGGTCTCTGCATCGCCTTGCTCAGGCCCTAAACTCCAGACACATGGAGTCCGTCCTGGTGCCCAGACGCACCCCCACTTAGCACCTCGGCTCCAGCTCTTCTCTGGGCTGGACATGCCCTTCCTCTGAGCTTCCACGCCTATTCCATGCCCAGTTGAGGAGCTAGCCCCTGACATGCCCTCTCTCCCGGGGGCATAATTCAGCACTACCCTCCCCCAACCCTCCTCAGATACTCTTTGCAAATGGATCTTATTTTCAGCTCCCTTTTGATGGCATCCTGATTGTGTGTGTGTGTGTGTGTGTGTGTGTGTGTGTGTATCCCTAGCTAGAATGAAGTGCCATGGTCTCCGCCATGTCTCATCCATCTTCACATCCCCAGCATAGTCCTGGTGCATGCGTAGAGCTCATTCAGTGCTGGCTAATCAAGAGGGTGCTTTTAATGAAGTATGATGGGGAGTCAGCTTAGGATGGAGGTCTTTTGTCTGCAAGGGCTCTTCCCACTATGCAGGGAGTAGAGCTGCTTACCTAGATAATTTGGGCACACACTCTGTCTTGTAGAGTTTTTCAAATTATTTAGATTAAGGGGCGGTTTGGGGGTAATTATATCAACCTTTGCATCTAATCTGTTTGCTTTTCGTTGGTGTCATGGCCCCTGAGTCCTTCACCCCTTTATTAAAGGGAGTTGTTGGCTACCTGCACTAAATTACTCCAAGCCACCATAGCCTCAAAAATTCTCAGGGAAAGATAAAAGCGTTTGCCATTTGACTTGTTTCAAAAGTGGCTGTGATCTGAATGAAAGATCTTTAAAATTATATCTGTGAATTTGCATTTCTCTCGCTTTGTCTTACAAAAGGCAAGAGAATATAAATCACAAATTATAGGTGCTTTTGGGGCAGATGTATAATGGGAAACAGTCTCTGCTATACACTCACTACTCAACACTTGTTATTTCCCTGAGCTGAGGTTTTCAATGTCACAGGGTTTCCTGTAATCACCTAAGAATTAAAATAGTCATTGCTAGGATTTTTTAAATACTCAGCCTCCCCAGATTCTGTCCATTTGGATTATTTAAAAAGACAGATGGGGCAAAGGTAATTACTTCTGTCTTCTTAAAGGGTCACATGGTTTTCCTGACCCTAAAAATGGAGGTATCCAAGATGGAGGGAGGCAGCATAGTAGCCTGAATTCCTTAGGCTCTCCGTCCACCCTCCTTCATCAGACTACCTTCCATAAGCCTATTGCTGCCTCAGAATCTTGGGGCAAGGAAGAATTTGAGGAAAGGATGGGCTGGAATTGGTATTTTAGCTGGAAGGTAGGTGCACAAGTAGATTTTTAATGGCTTGGTTGGTTTTCTGTTTTGCTTTCTATCATATGCCTCTCCGATAGGCACTGTAGATGCATCCATGCATACCTTCCTCCAGCCATTAAACCATTACCTGGCACGTCCAGACGCTCTAGTCTTGTGAGTTACCATCGGCTTTACTGAGAGACCTCAAGAAGCCAAATACGCCTGTCATACTGGAGCTGCCCCCATCAGAGTCATCTTCTTCTGTTTCTGGGACCACTGGAAACCCCCCCCCCCGCAATGTGGCTGGTCCCACCATCCCTTCTCTTCAACCTGCTGCCACCACAGCCTTTCCCCAGTACTTATGGACCTTTAGACTCTTAAGGGTTCCTGAGGGTCACAAACCCAGGCTCCTAGGCCCTCCGTGGCATCACCGCCAGCTCCTGGTAGAACTGGTACTTGAACATCCCCTGTGATGGGGGAGCTCCTACCTCCCAAGGCGGCACATTTCCAATCTTTGGATGGTGTTGCCCCTCACTGGTGAACCCATGAGTTACCTGAGTGTGTTCAACAAGCCAGGAACTGTTGGAGGGAAGATGGGATGCAACTGTGAATAAGACAGCCCTCACCCAGTGGAGAGAGCGGAGACAGACATAAGTAGTTACATCACAATATTTTTTTTAAGATTTTACTTATTTGACAGAGAGAGAGAGACAGTGAGAGAGGGAACACAAGCAGGGGGAGTGGGAGAGGGAGAAGCAGGCTTCCGGGTGAGCAGGGAGCCTGATGCGGGGCTCGATCCCAGGACCCCGGGATCAGGACCTGAGCTGAAGGCAGACCTTAACGACTGAGCCACCCAGGCGCCCAGTTACATCACAGTATTGTAAGCCTCTGGAGGGGTATGTTCAATAGGCCGGGGAGGCCTGTCCAAAGGTGAAAGTGTATGAAGAAGTACAGCGTGTTTGGAGAAAACCAACATTCATTTAGTATAGGGTGTGGAGAGGTGAGAGCAGAGATGGAGACTGGCAGAATGGGGTCGTTTGGACTGAAATCTCTATGTCACATGAAGCCAGATGCCACTCAGTGTCTGGGAAGTGCCATGAGCAGGTCTCTTATGGGGGAAGGGTCAATTGGGTAGGCAGCCAGGAGTCGTTTCTGTAGCTGAACTGACTTAGGAGCCCCCATTTCCATAGATGAACAGGAAAAACCACGCCTGAAGTTTACAGTAATTCAGACCCTTCTAGGTTTGCCCTGGGACTATGTAGAGTCAACTCTTAGCCTTTTTCTTCTGGGGTGATCTACAATTCTGGGGCCTCTGTATTGGCCCGGCATGGGGTGAGGGACTGGTTCTTGCTGATTTTCGTTGTGTGATATCAAACCTGCTCTGCCCTCATCTGTGGCTTTCAGGCCCCTGTCATAGCCTCCTGATGCTTCTCGACACATCCCTCCCCCCCTCCCCTCCGGCCCCCTCTTGCCACAGCCTCTGTTGCAAGATCCCTTCCCTCTGCTACCAGCGTCCCACCCAGTGGTCATGCTGATTCCAAATCTCCGCTACCTCCAGTGTCCCCCCAGGGGGCCCCTGAGAACTTTAAAAATGTCCTCCATAATCTACTGGAGGGCTGTCGGGGGAGTCATGTCAGTCCTGGAGGTAAACAGGGTATGAGCCCCTGTGCTCTGCCCCTCCCCATTTTAGAGAGAGAGAGAGAGAGAGAGAGAGAATCTTAAGCAGGCTCCATACCCAGTGCGGAGCCTGATGCGGGACTCAATCCCACAACCCTGAGATCATGACCTGAGCTGAAATCAAGAGTCGGACGCCTAACCGACTGAGCCCCCCAGGCACCCCCCTCTGTGCTCTGGGCTTTCTAATGGGATCTCTTACCTGCCCCTGCCCCTGGGGTGTGACTCTGAGTCTGGGCAAAGGATAGGTCCTGCTCACATTCTCTCACTTGTGCTGTGCTCCTCCTTATTCCTCTCTGGATTCTTTCCCTCAGTGCAAGGAGGGGTTTTTCTTCCGCCTGGAGGGCAGGAAGCTGCCACTTGGGTAATTTCATGTTTACCCCACTCCAAGGCTTACAGGAA